CAGTATAGGCCTCGGACGGAACAGCCGTTAAGGTACTCCATCGTTTTAAGTCGTTCTCTAACCGAAATGATGAAATCCTGTGACCAATCTCAAATCCTCGCAAACCAACACTTAATTCTTTTCTGATTAACTACTGTCATGCAATAAGTAGGCTAGTGTGAAATGACAAAGTAAATGCAGATAAACTGGAAAGGTTTGTGATAAACAAAAATCTGGTCTTATTTTAATAACTGACACTCATTTCACACTAGTTAGCCATACCGGAAGGTGCTTTGACGTCTGAAATTTTGTGCTGAGTTTGATTCTCAGTGGGAATACCATCACTTGCTCAGAATGCGAACACATGCAGTTGATGAATTGCAAACAGGTTGTATGTACTAAACATTTAAGTAGCCAGTATTTTGGTGCTTTAGTGTGCAGAGTCTTTGTCTGAATTCGATTACTCAACCATTGGAAACTAAATATCTTTTGACACCTTTGTCGTACGTATATGTCGTGTTCTCCGAATCTTCACATGAGTAGGGTTTACAATTATCCCCTGGAAGTAGGATTTCATCATGAACTGACATCGATTAGAGAACCACTGGAAGACCTGAGAGTACTGGACAGCTGTTTCGACCTAGTTTGGGACTCTTCATCAGTGTGCACCCACCATGGTTTGAACCCAGGAACCTCTGGCTAAAAGGCTAGATCGTAGACTGTTCATTTGCCACTGGGACCCGACCCAATGGCCCATGGATTCTAACTTCTTACTCCGGTGGGTGCATACTGCTGAAGAGTCTCAAACTGGAACGAATTAGCTATCCAATACTCCATTGCTGATTTTCAATGGTTCTCTAATTGATATCAGATCATGATGAAATCCTTCAATCAATCAAACAAAACCAATTCTTGAAAATACCCTTTGGTAGATTTTTTCCTGCATCTAACTAGGAATTTCAAGATGACTCTCACGTTATTATTGGAATGTGTAATTGCAAGCGAGTGAGCAAAAGATAATGTTATTTCAAATATATAATGAAAATAGTGATACAAAAGAGTATCATGGAACTTATAGAATTCTCAAAACTTGTGTGTGGAGGTTTTTTTGATTTCTTTACATTCCCAATGGAACACAGGTGTCCAATCTAGAGGCTTTAAGTTTCGGTAGCAGAAGTCTTTATTTTTACGGGATGAGTTTGTTAACCTCACGACCAGCCCTCCCTCTTTACTTCTTATTGCTGGCTTAGCGAGGTATATCAGTGCGTTGGCCGGGGTTGAACCCCGAACCACTAACGTGGTCGGCAAGCACTCTACCGCTGTGCCACACCGACGCCGGGTGTGGAATCTCATTGGTTGTTTATCTGTTTAAAGTACGATTTAAATTCTGACTAACAGCTCATTGAACTATTCCGTGGTTGCATATAAAAATGTATAGCAGTATTTCAAGATTGTTAACCGTATTATATATGATGGTGAAATTTTTAGCACTCAATTACCTGTTTTTGAGTTCAATGTCATGTTATTCCGATTTCAAATTATCTCATGAATAATCCCCATCCAGACATTAATGAAATACCAAACACTTAGCTCAATGAAGAGTCTCTTCTTTCGGCGGTAAATTCATTCACACTTAGCTGCTCAATCGCAATCATTTATACTTATTCTGTTTTCTATGTGTGTGTGTGTGTGTACATTAGCTGTGTCAGACAACAACAAAAATAAATTAGTTAGGGTTGTTGCTTACGTTATCAAAATATTCCCAAAAAATGTGATGAATAATCCAACGGTAACTAGATGGTGGTGGTTGTGGTGGTGGGGTGGGGGTTAAGATTGGTAAGAGAGTAGTGGTGATGAGTTGTCAAAAATAATTATCAATGTTAATCGATGCATAAGAGAAGAGAAGTTGAATAAAGCGTATTGTTGTTGCGTGGTGAGTTGAATAATTTAATAAGTGAGTGAGTCTTGATTAAGATGTACATGTGAAACGAAGGAAACTATGGAATTATGTAAGAGTTGTGAAGAAATACAAGAGTTATAAGGAGTTAGAAAAGCAGGTACACAAAAATCAAGTGAGTAGAAATCAACACGGTTGGCACCATGATAGTAGAAGAGGGTTTTTCCATCTGGATGGCTAAGGTTTAAGCAATACAAAGGAGATGAAAGCGAACTGCCTTTGGTAGGTTATTCTTCACTCTATAGATCAATGTGAATGAAGAGTTTGTTGAGATAGAATGGTTAGTGTTGACAAGGTAACCAGTGATCACACTCCTTATGGAGTCACTACTACCTTTTTGCAGCCATACTGTGGGAGGGATAATGTTCTCGAATCCTTTTGGACAGGATACTCATCCAATGACCAATGTGTATATTCAAATTATCTCTCGAACTTTCTACTTCCTAACCTTAATCTATGTACTAGTTTAGTCTGGTGAGTGGATAAATACTCATCGAGGATATCTGATCGCGATCGTATTGTGTTGAATAATTCATAGAATTGGTAAATGCGCAGATCATTGGTTGGATTTAAGCCGACACTGTCTAAATCGTAACATGCTCTATGTATCAACATCTGTCATCAGTTTTCTCGTTGATTGCGGTCAACCAAATTTTCAACTATAACTAAACAAAATGTACCAGTTGAAGATGCTTCATTGCTTATAATACATAGCAATACATAAAGGTAGAGATTAGACCGAATTAAAGAAGTTCAAAGAAACTATAGTAAGCAGAAATGTGCACGCCAAAGAATGACGAAAGTTTACTAGATCGAGGAGATCACAGCAGATGAATGCGTTTGTATCAATGGGAACGATTTTAATCCATATATCACCAGCAGTCTGCATGTGTATTGCTTCTTAACACTTCGATTATCGTAACAGACTTTATGGGGTGATTGATTTATTGATTGACTGATTGATTCCAGATTTTGATTTGACCATTTTCAACTATTTTGCAACGCTTGTCAGCCAACATTACTCGATGAGAGTAGCGATTATATGACGTCATGTTGTAGTGATTCCAATCGAGGTAATTGGACAAGCTCATCAAAGCGTTTTTCCCTCCTTATTCAACATTCTGTCCAACCTGTGTGTCTGTCTGTCTGTCTGGATTCAACATAGAACTTGGCACCGAACTGCAGCAGTTCGAGTTGCCACGTTCCAAATAGCACACAAAGGTAGACAAAAACATAAGTGAAGGGAATCAATAGAGTTTTGACAAGTATAAGAGTGAAACAGAATGAATGAGTAATGGTAGAAAGGAATATGAAGGTTAAAGAGACTGAATACATCTGCGTAAGCCATTGACAACGATTTTGAGCCATGTCACCTATTGTCTTCAGCCATTGATTCTTAGAGTCCCGAGGGTGGGCCCCAACCCAGAAGTCTGCATCTCCCTCCCTGACTCAGTTTAACTGTCAAGGATTTCATGGATTGATTGATGCCATGTTTTTGTTTGGCCACCACTTACTCTTTTCCAACCATCACCTATATCAGCTAGTAATGCCCGTCAGGGGAGGCGATGGTTAGGCATGCGCAGCACGTGATCTAGCCATCTCAATCTCTGTAACTTTATAGCCTCTTCGATTGACTTTCCCTCTTTGCCCAACACTCCACGCCTAACATCAACATTACTTACCTTATTATGCCACCGAACGTGAGAAAGAGATCGGAGACATTTATGATCAAAAACAGTCAACCTTTTCATGTCTTCAACTTGTATTGGCCATGTTTCAGAGCCATAGAGAAGGACGGAGCGAACTGCTGAGCAGTACACACGTCCCTTGGTTGATAGCCGGCTGTCCAACCTGATTATTCCTACTTATATTTATACTACTTAACGTGTTCAAAAATGGCTAGCTCCTATTATATCCTCCATTTTTATTGGTCTTATATCTTTCAACTGTAAAAAAGCGAGTAAACAAAGTATTATTGATATAAGTATAAAACTTCAGCACTGTGCCGGTAGAGTATAACTCCATTATGGATAAAAAAAATTTTTGATAAAATCATACAGTAATATTTACTGATGAACACGCCTCGAGCACAAAATGTTACCGCTCATAATCATATCAAGACACTAATCACACAACTTTCTTGCTTCATTTATATACATGAGTGGAATTGATGATTAGACATTTGAATAAAAAACCAATATACCATAATGTAGATTCAGAAATAATAATTTGAGTGTTATCGATCAAATACAATCAGATGAGAAATAAGACGAGTGTTTTTATAGTCAAAATAAGTGATTTGTTTTAGTGTTATAGTGTGAATTGAATACATTTTAACATTGTTTATTTATTATCCTCTGATTTGACTGTTACTAATAATATCTTCCATATCTCTGGTATTTGCATTGAGTCACTTCTATTGCGTGTGCTGTGTTTAGACTCGATGATGCAGAATTCAATAATCAACCTCTCTCTCTCTTTCAACCTATCTATATTACCCTTTAGCATTGTAACTCTGTCCCACCTTATTGTGTGGTTGTGTGTTAATGCATGCAGGGCAATTGCTGAGTTCCTCTTTCTAAATTACTTATCTTCGTAGAATCAGTCATTCTAACCTGACAGGCAATCAGGCACTACTCCTGATCTACTAGTTTGACGCATGTAGTTAGTTGACGTTACTCACAGTCATTGCAAGGTGTTTTGCAAATTATATTATTTTGTTTAACTGGGTTAACCTACAGGGTCCTTTAGCCTACAGTGCTTGTCCTACCTGAGTGAGTTTGTAGGTTTGCATATCATATCATAATCACATCACCTTGATGTGATTATGAACAACAAATTGTGGTCGTAACGTCATCACGAAATATTACTGTATTACACTGTGTGATTTTATCAAAATAAAATTTTATTCATAATAGAGTTGACCAAAGTATTTAAAAACAGAAGTAAAATCACATGTCAATTTGCTTTTTCTTGTTGTGTTTTGGTTTTTACAAATTGGGATAATGGATAACTTGCAAAAATAATTTCTGTTGTGTATGTGTGTTCCCCTTTCCGTTTTTAGGCAGATAAAATCACATCTAGAACAATTTTAAAAAATGCTGATTTATCAGCAGTCCATAATTGGGTAACTAAAGCCTGTACAAGTTTAGTCCGAGAATTAACATTTGCCAATGCTGAGGAAATTACTGAAGAACGTTTACCCTTAATGTTATTGTTTTATCATCCAAAAAATAAAACAATAGCTGATCGTTTCACTGAATTCGTGAAAACTCATTTATCACACCTACAAGGTAAGTTTTGATGTTTGTGTGTATATATTTGTATTATTATTATTGTTTCCTTTAATTCCTAGAGGAACATAGGGCTTCAGCCGTGCATCTCCATTGCGTTCGGTTCTCTGCTAGAGTCTTCACCTGGCTCCATGTCTGCCCACACGTTTTCATCTCCTCTTCACATGACCTCCTCCAAGTCACCCTCACACTGACGACCAACTCGCCGCTTCCCATTCAGTCGGGTTCCACTCGAGCGATGGCTTATCTAGTGATGTCACTTGATGGTTTCCTCAGAGTATGGCCAATCCATCTCCATTTCTTCCTGCCTATTTGTTTCACAATCGGTTCCTGGTTGGTTCGCTCCCAGAGATCTCTGTTGCTGATCTTTTCTGGCCGGCCATCTGATCTTGTATACTGAGCGAAGAGAGCTGTTAATGAAGGTCTGTAGTTTGTTTGATGTGCTCTTTGTGACGCGCAGTGTAAGTCTCTGATCCGTATGGTAGCACTGACTTCACATTGGAGTTGAAAATCCGGACCTTATTTTTCATGGTGAGTGCTGTTGACCTCCACACAGACTTGAGAGTAGTGAAAGCTTGTCTTGCTTTTCCGATTCTCACTTTGATATCCTCATCAGTTCCCTCCGCCTGTAGTTGAAATGATGCTTCCCAGGTAGCTAAAAGAGGTTGTTTCTTTCAGGTTCCTTCCATTTATGCTGATCGTTGTCTGTTGTTGTTGTTCTTGTCCAGGAATCTTCATTACCTCTGTTTTCTCTTCGTTCACCTGAACGTATATATATATGCAGCTTCATCGGTACATTTCCACTGCACTCAGTTCTGTGTCATCACTTTCACCAGGTTAATTCTATGACCATATATAAGTGTATTCATTCCCTCCTCACATTACTGTCCTTTCCATATCACCCTCGGACTCCCAACTTGTTGATTATTATCCGACGTGTGATGTCACTCATTGGTCTCTTCAACGTATGTCCGAAATCATTTCCATTTCATTTTGCCATATTTTTGAGCAATAGAGTTGTTGGTTGGTTGTTTGTTCTGTACAACAGCTTCTTGTTGCTTAATCCCTTTCTGGTCATTTGAACTTCAATATCGTCCGAAGATAGGTGTTGAGTCCTGTGGATTTCAAATAAGTGCCTGTAATGGTGTAGAGTTTCTGTCTGAAGAAACACTTCACAACTTTAATTATGCAGATAACTTTGTCTCACTGTTCAGTTGCATATTATTAGCTACCCAAGTGCTGCAAAATTCACAGGATCCTGCGCTTGAACAACACACTCTTGCAAGTGAATTTTTGGAAGTATTCGATTAGTTCGTGTACTTGGGTAAGTTGTGTAACTGTTAATTGAAGTGTAGTGGATGAAATTTCTCATCGCATAATGAAATCCAGAATGGTATACTTCAAAGTGAGCCACTTCTGTACTACTGCGAAGTTTTCTAACCGTTAAACATGAAGCTTCCTGCGAACTCTACTCTGAATTTTCTGAGCTAAGAATGTACGATGAGTGAGTGTTCAGTCACTGGCATCCATAGAATTGCTTGTATCGGATGGTATTATCGTGTGAATAATTCCAGGTCCGATGGTGCATGTTTTGACATGTTGTAGATTGTCTTTCAATGAGTGGTATTGTCTGTGGACACCCAGTTCAATGACTTGGATATGTACAACTAAATGCTACCCACTGGCTTTTATACTCTTCATTGTTTGGTAGCCCTTGAAGTGTATATTATTATGCCACGCATCAATACTCCAAAATGTTTAAACAAAATAATAGAGATAGCATTACTAATCTGTCTTTCATGTGTATGAATCACTAATTTTGAATCAATAATTAGTGAATATCTTTGTCACAGACACTTGTACACAAATATAGACATCACACTTCCGGTATCTATGAAAAACACGATAAGTTTCATATCTATTCTCTATCGAACATGAAAGTTAATTACTGATGGTTAATTACTGTAAATTTATTTCTAGACTTGATGACTAATTGATTTCAGCTAGAAAAAAATATTGAAAACCGGGTAATACTTGAAAGTTGTTTCTGTCGCGTCAGTTTTATAGTTTGCAATAATATTGAAAATGAAATTGAAATGCCGAGTTTGAACACGGTGATCACGCCTAGTTAACCCCATCATTGTATAAAACCGTTATTTGTTTCTCTAGCCTTCAGTTGCGTCGTAGTTTGGACCATTTATCAGTGCTCACTCCACCTGCAACTGAACTCAGGACCTTCAGTCTACGAGGAGATCACGTATTCCATTGAACAGAGTTCAACAGACCACAAATCCTAGCTTCTGGCCCAGTTAGGCGATATATTTAACGCCGTCACTAGTTTTGGTCTTCGATAAGTATTTGTCTACACACCCAACTTGGTGGACTCTACTGGCCACGACTGCCCACTAGGACTTCAAGCAAACTTCATACTGTATTCAATCATTAGTGAACTTTCAAGATTGATGTATCGGAATAGCTGCTTCTCAGTAATTTCATATATCTTTCATTAGCATGCTATATCGTTGTAATCACTATATGAACAACTGGGCACTGATTTAAAATATGTTACCAGATTGTATAAATAGTTATTGATCATTCATTCCAATCAGTATTCATGGCAGTTTTACCAGTAATTGGTTGATTTGCTTGGTTCTAGAGAAAGAGAGGGAGGGCCAAGTAAGAGGGATAGTTTACTCCAGATTGAGGCACGTCGAATACTTCGAACAGCATTCAAATCAGTTCACAGTTCTTTGTATTTCAGCAACACATCTCCACTTTGTCCTCTTCACCTGGCTACCTCCACGATCGTGCACAACCTGTCATCTCCTCCATGTCACTCTCTGACAAACGCCCCACTCGTTGCTTCCCATTGAGATTCCACTCAAGCGATGGCATGCATTGTGCGTAATGTCATTTGGTGGTCCCCTCAACGTATGTCTGATCCGTCTTCACTTCCCCCCACATATTTGTTGAGCGATCTGCTCTCACCTATCGGTTTGTTCCACTGCCGAGGTTTTTTGTTACTAATTCTTTCTGACCGGCCGGCTGGCCATTCGATCTTCAATGTGGAGCCATCGAAGTTGTCAGCTGTTGATAAAAGTCTGCAGTAGCCCTTTGGGAATGTTTTTCGTGACACGCTGGCCAAGTTTCTGACCCGAATAGAAGAACTGATTGACTTAGCGTTTGTGTTGAACAAAATCCGAATCTTGTTGTTTATGCAGAGTGAATGCAGAAGATTCGCAAACTGATTTCAGATTAGTGAAGATGTATCTTGCCTTTCCGATTCTGGCTGGCTATGGTTGAAAGGATGCTTCCTGACTGGATAAGTGAAGGAAGTGTAACCTGTGTCGAATTTCTCCCGTTGATTGGTTATCTTTTTTGGTGATTGGTTATCTTTATCGCCTCTGTCTTCTCTTTGTTCACCTGGAGTCCTGTCTTCACTGTCAGCCTGTTGAGTGAGTTTGTTGGTTTTCGCCTACAAGTCTTTGCTCCTGTGTGATTCTGAACATGTGTGAGTCATCGACGCGCGAAATCCAGAACTTCTAGAGTCTTCTTGTTGGTCAGTGTAGCGTATTCCTGCCTTCTCACTGCCCACGTACAGTCTGGAGCCTAATCCAGTCGACCACAATTAGGAATATCACTGGTGGTAGTAGACAGGCAGCCAGCCAGTCCTGTCTTACTCCTGTATTGACTTTAAATGCCTCTTCGCTGAGTTTTGGGTTGTGGATCACTTGACACGTGGCCTTGTCACATAGGGGCGGCTGTTGGATGAGGTTGATAAGGATTAGGGGCACTGTACGCCGTAGCGGTGAGTTGAGGTAGTTTCCAAATTACTTCTCGGTGAATACTGCCTGTTGACGGCGTTTTCGTAGTTGATGAAAGAAGTTGACGTAGAGGTCTGACTGTCATTCTATGCTTTGTTCTGTGATGATGATGCGTAGAGTTGCAATTTGATGGGCACATGATTTGTTTTTCGTGAATCCATCTTGTCCCGGTTGTTTGAGTTCTGCATGCAGTTCATCTTTCATTCTTTCTAGGATGACGCGACGTAGTATTTAGCTTGGTGTGGACAAAAGCATGATTCCACACCATTTCTTGGAGAGGTCATTGGGTCACTGATTCCATTTTAATTGATAGCAGTTATATTTGTGTGTGTATGTTTTTGAAATTACAGTACGTTTCTACCTATTGTGGGTGCTGATAACGAGATACACGTACTGTATGACTACTGATTTTTCTGAATATTTGTAAACTAAGACAAAACACGTGTTAACAATTGCCTACATTTTTGTGTACTGTTGCGGTGTGCGCTGCTGATAAGATTCATCAGTGGTAGCTCCGTAGCTCAGTCCGTTAGAACATCTTAATTCCACCCAGGAAACTACAAAGAAGTCCCCACTTCAGTTGATATATGGGAGGATGCCACAATTGTCAATATACAACACAACCTGGTCCCTCCACCGCGAGTGGGATATGACGAGGTTGCTAACGGAACAGAAAAAAGTCGTCAAGAATGTAAAGCGTAAACAGAGGAAAGACGCCGCTAAATCAGAACAAGGAGAAAAGATGGGATGCATAACCTTTGGCGTCGGTGATTAAGTAAAGTGTAGAGAAAAAAAGGACGGGGTTAGGTGAGGGCCAGGTTCAGGGAAATTCCTTCCGAGTTGGGAAAGGTCATACACTGTCACCGAGAGACGTGGTGCCGTTCATACTATCAAAAGAGGAAATAAGCAGAAATGGGTTAACGTCAGCTAACTGCAGAAATGCATTCAATGGGATAAGGAAGCCGGGACCAAGGTACATCAAGAAGGAGTAGAACCAAAAAGATCGGAACGACTCCGTTCAAAACTATTTGATAGGGAAACGAGTGTTGCGTGTGCCACCAGTAGGATTTATCAGTAGTATATATAGAGACGTTCATTGACATAAAAACATCCAATAGCAGAGAGATAGATTTGACGTCAGAGAAAACGAATGATTCAGCGTTGGGAAGATACATGGGAGACAAATGGAGTACATAGAAACACAGTATGAAGGAAGGGCAGAAGTAGCACAACACGGTGCATTGAAGATAAGGTGTACATAATTTCACTATACAGAGATACCAAATTCCAAATAAACATTCCTTCACTAAGTCTCTTATCTTCTATCATTCATTACACTGTTACCTTAACATTAAAGATTGCTTTCAATGAGATGAATTTCATATCACTTTGTTTTCTGTTGTATTTCCGCTCTGTCTTGTCTGGGAATTATAGATACAATCAATATTGTTACAGCTGATGGAGTGACATTTTCGCATCCACTAGCCCACTTGGGTAAATCAGAGTCAGATTTACCCTTCATTTGTTTGGATTCTTTTGCACATATGTATGTATTTCCTGGGAGTATAGACAAAGCATTAAGGTTAGTTAAATTATTTATTTTTCTTATGTGTGATTATCATATTTCTATTTTTAGTAGTCTCTTTGGTTCCCAGTAGAACATAGGCTTTTAACCAGCAGTTCTCCGTTTCATCCTATGCGCTACATTCCTTTTCAGCTGACTTCACAATTGCCCATAAGCTTTCATCTCGTGTATGTCAGCCGTCGACGCCCAGCTCGTCTTTTACCTTGCAGATCCTATTGCAGGGCTTGATTCGTCTCAGTATGCATGCAATCCGTCTCCATTCCATTCTGCATTTTTGTTGGGCGATAGGTTCCTGGTTGGTTGGTTGAAGGTGGCTGTTAACAGAAGTCTGCAGCCTGTTTTAACTAGGTCATGAATTGCACCTATTTTGGTGGATTACTCAGCTTCTTTTCTCCTTCATTTCTTTTATTATTCCTTGATAATTCAAGTGATGGATACCCGTTTCGTTCTTCCCTGGGACTCTTCATCAGTGCACACCCATGACACACCCTTACCAGACATCATACACAAGAATTTTGGGTTACAAAGTGAGCTTGTTGTCCACTTAACCACTAGGACAGAGTCTAATGGTTATCTAACTGAAGTCATTTCGTGACCAAATTTGAAATTAATTACCTCTGTGCTGTCCAACACTTGAAAATTCAAGTAGTAGTAGTTGTTGTTGTTGTAATTTCCGGCGGTGAGCCAGGATTTATTTTATTATAAAATTACCTTAAATAGCGCTACTGCGTGAGCCACAGCTTCTCTAGCAGAATTCTACTGAAGAATTCATTTCAACTTTAAAATTCTGCCCAACTCTTCAATGGCATTTTAATTTTCTGTATTCTACTAGTATTTACGTTAACGGCTACTGTGCTATGGTACCGGAATATAAACTATATGCGTATATATATGTATATATATATATATATATATATATATGTCTCACTGTGGCCTGCTTAAAACTTATGCTACCGGAAAATTCTCCACCATTACACATTGCACCTAATTTCTCATGTTCACTTTTTGTTTTAATCTATTGGAATACGACCTCCAGTCGGATTGTTTACCCTCTCGAATATTTAAAACCTGCAAATTTCCATTAAATCTGAGAAGAAGCATCATTCTTAGTGGCAACATGCTTTAAAACGTATTCCAATACACTAAATATAACTCTTCCTTAGGTGATAGGCACAAACTGTCGTTCCCTGTCTAATAAAATTAACTGTTTGTGTAATCTTTCATGTCTTCTTCTAATTTATACCACACTATCTAGATAAGATAACTCTTGGCCTTTATGATCTATGTGGAGATAATTTAGCTGGTTTAAATGGTTTTGAAACTGTTGGGACAAGAGGTCTGTATAGATCTTAGAAAAAATGAGGCGGTGGCGTCGCAACCTTCATCGGTTCTACTTCCAATCATGTTGTGTTTTAGATTTTGAAGTGACAAAATCAGTTGCAATACTATCTGTCAAATGTTGACCGTAATATCTGTCTAAGTACAATTACAGATTCCTTTTAGAACATTTCTATTGCACCTGGTTTTTGTCTCTCAGAACTCTCTCCTTGTTTAGTGATGAATTCACTTCTTTTGCTACCATCTTCCTTGACAAATCTTTACCAATTACCAATTCCTGTGACATTTTCAGTTTCCTCTCAACATTAGGTCATTAAAAAAATATTGCCAATATTCTTGATTTAGTGTTTACAAAGGCAGCCCCACCGCTAAACCCGGGCCGTTGTATTACACTAATATTGCCAAAATATGTGTTACACAAAAGGGCCTTCCTCGGTAAGAAAACTCAAGATCAGTGTGTCACTCTTAGGAACAAAATACACAATCTAAGAAGAATGCTAAAGGATACAATCTGAGACTTTTATTTCACTGAACAAGTTCTAGATGACACAATTACAAATATAACATGTTATATGTCTAATTCTTTCTCGGTTTTTGTTGTCGAAAACAACAGACACTCTTCTTAAGATATGACCACTTCTTGTCTTCTCAGGTCGAAAAGCTTCATCGAGAGAAAACTAATGGTTACGTAACAAAGTGAAGGATTTTCAAGTATTGGTTTGTGGGGATTTGATTAATTGATTACCGGATTTCATCATGAGCTGATATCGCTTAGAGGAACCACTGGAAAACCTGGGACAGCTGTTTCCTCAGCCTAGTTTGGAACTCTTCACGATTACGCATGCACCAGAGGGGTTCGAACCCAGGACCCTGTGGTTACAAGGCTAGCGAGCTCGTAGACTATTCACCAGCTACTGGGACCCGACTCTTCAACAACCAGTCAGCCAATGAATTCTAACTTCTGCCAATTCATGATATCAGCGCGACTGGCACCAGCCATTGTCATTGCTGGCGAGTATTTGTCCTTACTTCTGACAGGATGTGGACCCCACTCACTGGTCATGATTTCTCATTAAAACTCCAGGAAGCTCCATCCTGTAACCAATGATTAGCGACCATCAGATTAATTTTTCAAGAGTTGATCTGTAGTAGGCATTTGATTTGTTTATTCAAATTTGCCCATGAATTGATGTTAGCCAACCCTTGAAAACCAACACTGAAGTACCGGACATCGGCTTCATCCTACTTTGATACTCATCAGTAGTACGCACCCTCTGGGTTTCGCCTTTTTTTCTTCTTGCTCAAATGTGATGAAAGGCGTATGCTTTGCTTTGCTTGTTCCATCTTGTTGTTGTTGTTGCTGCCTGCCTGTCTGTCTGTCTCTATTGTTGCTATCTGAGATATTTTTCTCCATTTTGTTTCACTACAGACTGATATTCTCTGTTATCATTGATTGATAAATACATATTGAGATATTGATGGGTTGAAGTGATTGATATTCTTGTGTGTGCGTGCGTGTGTGTGTACGTGCATGTCGATTCTTCAATATAATATAAAATATCTCTTTTCATTCAGTTCATTATTGATTTATTTTTTTGCTTTTGTGGAAGAAAACACAGAAACATGTTTCTGATCTAAAGGAAGCATGTATAACTGTTACAATGAAGATTCAATTTACTGTTTTTTTATGGAGCTGATTTATAAACTGATTAGCTTTATGGTGAGGGGATGGGGGTAACGCTCACTAACTTTGATACTGAGTAGTGGGATTGTGAACTCTGAACCCTTGGAAATACTCATCTAATCTTGGAAATAATAAGAACAAATAATTTAGCTTAGATAGTCTTTTCTTCAGGGGTTACATTCACTTAGCTGTACAGTGTCGCAGTTATTCATATTCCCTCCAGGCTGTTCTTGGAGTAAAAATCTGTGTGGTTGGGCATCTGTCCATAGGTGGCATAGAAGAGAGGTCATTTGTGTGGGAGAAGTTAAAATGAATGAGCAGTCAATGGAGCCAGTTAGAAAAGACTTCAGAGATAGACTGAAGTAGAGATGTGCTGCCGGAAGACCAGTGTTCCACTCGGAATCCAGTGGACGACTAAGGGTGTTTTGAAGTTTCTGTACCAAATGGTTGATTCGCTAGCTCTCAAGCCAAACCTTCCATCTTCTTTTTCTGGGCTTAGTATCTTCTGTTAAGCTAGTGAACTAGTAATACCTAAGAAAAAGTATCAGACCAAAAATATTAATAAAGGCAAAATTTTGATAACAGTTGAGTTTGAAATTATATCTATGGTAAAACAACGGAGCAGATGGACAGTTTTCTTCTGTGTCCATTTATTCTTGCTTTCTACCGTTACAGAAACATCTTAATAATGCATCCTAATTGCTATGAACTGTAGATTTGCAAGGGTTTTGTGCCTTTTCTTAACACTATATCAAATTACAATTCGTGCAGTAGCGATATGTATATGTATGTGTGCAATTGTTTTCCCTGGATGATACAAATAGATAGTGAGAATAAACCATTACGTTGATTGTTCACTAATGAATAACTAGCCCATCTCATGCGTCCACTGCTTAATGTTGCTGCTGACTGACTGGATTCTGTCAGTCAAATTCACAGTGTGCTCACCAAACCACAGCAGGTCAATCACTATCGCGGAGCTCCATACCTCGGTTTCCTGCTTTACTTGCCAGTCGCCAAGAGGGCGTATCTGCAACCTTTAAAGAACTGATCACTTATCGTATATTCTGACCATATATCATCCAATCAATGTGGTATATCCATTATAGGGAATAGTAAAAAGGCGGTTGCAGCGAAGAAAATTTTCTTTCTGACGAAATCATCAACAGAGTCTGTACATTCGTGTATTTACAGTAAATAAGTGAGGAAGTCCCAGAATAATTTCTGGTCAAGGGTCATATTAATAAAATTACAATTAGGAATTAAAATGCCATGATAAACAGGGGGACGGATAAAGCTCAGACAAAGTAGCATCATAATTACTGACAAGATTGACATATTGTGCAATTAGGGGTTAGAAATGTAGAAATAACAACAATACACAGGATGTTTGGATAAAAAATCTAGTGGGATCATAACTGATGTGACGAATAATCGTTTATGCGATTAGGAATTAAGTAAGTAGAAATAGTAAAATGACAAATTAGACAGGAAGTTCGGATATGAAAATATGGAAGTGTAAATAGGGATTAAGAAAAACCTAAAATAACATGAATAAACAAGAAGTTTGGTTAAGAAAGTCAATGGGATAGTTACTATTAGAAGAATTACTCGTTTATGATGGCCACGGCAGGGACAAGGGTTGAACGTATTTCTTTTGGATACATAGCGTGGGTTTGAGCTTTTGGATGGCTAGTGCCTCAGCTATGCCCAGATATCTTAATTTTACTCCCTTTGATAGGTTTGATTGAATCTTGTATATTATTTTGAAGGATTTTTCGAATGGCGCTGAATGTCCTGAATTGACAAGATGTTCTGTCACTGAACAATATATCCGTTTCCTTTCTCCTTTTACTAGCCAGACTGGATAGTGTTCACGAGCGCGTTTTTCAAGTTGGCGCATAGTACGGCCGATGTACTAAGCTCCGCTCGAGCAAGTAAACTGGTATGTGCAGGTTGAAGTGGCCCAATGTGACAGCTTGTGTTTTGCATTCTGACTGAACAGTTTTTTGCAAGAGAACGTCAGTCGTAGGCTGGTTGCGCAGTTTGTTTTCCTCAGAGATTCGCAAAGGCGTTTCCGAAGGATCTCTGCTTCAGTATCACCTTTGAATTCTAGATTAAGCAGAAACATCTTCTTGTCGGATTGGGCTGGTTCAGAAGTCTTCCTTGATTTTAGATTCTTGTCTATTAACCTAGGCGGAAAGCCGTTTTCCATCAGGGTCCTTCAGAGATTACGTAGTTCTTCGTCAACCACTTCCTCGCTGTATATCTTCCGAATCCTCGAGGTAAGAGCGTGTATAAGGTTCCTCTTTCTGCTTAGGGTAACGAAGCTTTAAAAGTTGATGAATTGTCCATTCCATGTAGGAATTTTGTATTTGGACCTTTCCAGAGAGCTGTCCATCACAGTTCTAGAAGACAGTAATCGTAGGCTTGAATAGCTTATTGATAACTGTAGTGTTCAAGTAGGTTGAATATTATTATTATTGTTCCCTTGGGTTCCTAGTGGAACATAGGGCTTCAACTACACGTCTCCACTTGCTTCTGTCTTCTGCTGTACTTCTCACCTGCATCCATGTTAGCTCATATTGTTTCAATTCCTCTTCACACGATCTCCTCCATGTCACCCTTGGACGTCCCACTCGCCGCTTCCCTATCGGATTCCACTCGAGCTATGGCCTGGCGCGCGATGTCACCCAACAGCCTCCTCAGCGAGTTTCCAATCCATCTCCACTTTCTCCTGCATATTTGTTGTTGGGCGATTGGTTCTTGTTTTGTTTCTTCCCATAGTTTCTTGTTTGTGATTCTTTCCGGCGGCCATCTGATCTTCAGTATAGAGCCAGCGAAGACAGTTGTTGATAAAGGTCTGCAACAGGTTGTTGGAAATATTCTTTGTGACCCACCAAGTTTCTAATCCGTATAGGAGAACTGACTTGAAGTTTGTATTGAAAATCCGGATTTTGTTTTTGATGCAGGCTGAGTGACGAAGATTTCCAGATTGGTTTCAGGTTGATGAATGTGTTTCTCGCCTTCCTGGTTCTCGATTTGACATCCTCGTCTGTTCCTCCTGTAGTTGAGACAATGCTCCCTAGATAAGTGAATGAAGTAACCTCTTTCAAATCCCTCCCGTTGATGGTGATTGGCACTGGATGTTGCTGTTGTTGTTATTGTTGGTTGGTTATTTTCATAACCTCCGTCTTGTCTATGTTCACATGGAGTCCTGTCTTTGCTGCCAGCCTCTTCGACCAGTTTGTCGGTTCTCGCTTGTAAGTCTTCGATTTTGTGTGACATCAAACATAAATCATCCACGCGCGAAATCCAGGTCTTCTAGGTTCTTCACGTCGGTCCAGGATATGCCTGTCTTCTCGTTTCCCACTGTCTGACGCATAATCCAGTCCACGACAATTAGGAATATCATTGGTGATAATAAGCACTCTTGTCTGACTCCTGTGTTTAATCCAACCGCCTCGCTGAGTTTTCTGTTGAATACTTCAGTCACTGAAATACACAGTAGTCAACTCCACTGAATACCTACATGACAATATAAATCTACAATACAAAATCGCCTACCTCTGTAGGCAATAACTCCAAATTCTGATTTATTGAGCCACTCCCTATTAATGTTAAGCATATTATTTCATGGTATTTTAAAAAAAACTCGTTTTTGATCTTTTGTTGTTTTTGTTGTAATCGTTATCATCTTGTTATTTGATCCTCTTTTGTGTTGTGTTCATTCATTAGTGATCCAAAACATTTAAATCAATTTGTTGAAGACTTGAAATCTGGTAAACTTCACTTAGAATACCATTATGGATCAGATGCTTTCACATCGACTCCTGGTTCTGCTGCTGCCGCTGAAACTGAAACACCAGTGAAAGTGGTACGTTTTTCACTTTCCATGTCTTCTTTGTTATTAATATTTTACTGTGGAGATTTGTTGTCTCTCAGGTGGTTAATTTTCTTTTTTTTATTATATCAGTGGGAGAATCATTGAGAAGTGAGAAGCACTAAAAAAGAGTTATTTCATCCGTAGTTCAGGACCCTCCCTTAATGTGCATCTACGACTAGTCTATTAGGAATCAAATGCAGGACTTACGGGTTACTTAGTGAGCCTATGGATTAGAACTCAGTGACCTTCGTAGATCCTAACTTGTATCGATGTAATTTTGTCTAATAGTGCACTTGTGGCTTTATACAGATAGAGAATGGTGTGAAGATTGTTCATCTTAGCAATTAGCTTCCTTTAGGCGATTGGTTTTTCTCTCTACATTTTCTCATGCTGTTACGCTAGAAGTCAAGATATTTGGTAACGGAGAGTTTATTTGATAGGTCTATCACACTCCACTACTTGATGTTTTTGTGCTAGTGAGCGTCTCTTTGTATACTATTGACAAGCCTCTTCAGTAGCATATGCCACATACTACTACTCATATTGACATCAGCAGTATAGCTTGCATTAGGATAAAAGAGTGTCATTTTTATATTCAAGTGTTAGTTTATAGTGAGTGATTTGAATGGTTTCAAGTTTGATGACGGATGGATATCATTTAGAGAACCATTGAAAACCAGAAGGTATTTATTTATTTATTTAAATGCAGAAAAACTTGGTACAATATGGCACCAAGAAAGATGCGCCACACAATAATAATAAAACAACATAGATTAAAAGTAAAAATATAAGTATAAAACGGATAAAGAACTTCATCAGGGAGGAAAACAGTCATGTTTAACAAGTTCGAACAGTATTCGTTAACTTTTATGAGGAAGGGAAGAAAGAAGAAAATTGCAACACGACACAGATAGGCTAGGAATCCAGACAAAGGCGAAAGGCTGTCAAAGGTTAAGAAGTCAAGGTGAGCAAATGTGAAATACAGAAAACTAAGTATAAAAATAAAGTAAGGTTGGAAAGAGATGTGTTACTTGAGACATCATTATTGCTTGAACGCATTGTTACGAGCGCGCGATAAGTTCCACTGATATTTTGTTGCTTTATTTCATTCATTGTGTGAGGGCTGAGATACTGCCCGGGTGCCCAAACCGAAGCATGTAGTTTTCTTAAGGGACCACCCCCTCCAAGCCTTTGACTTGGAGTCTAACCCGCAAGGCAGCGGAGCAGCGTCAGGTGCTGCGTTCCCATGGTTGCCGGTGACCCATATGTGTTCGTACGCCATTTGATCCGATTGGATTCTGGAGCCCATGTACCCCATGGTAACTGCTTTTAGTCTAACCGCTATCCAAACAACCTTCCTGGCATGGTGGGACCTGCAGGGACATGAGTCCCAGCCAGTTTAGCTTGTTGGGTCACTGCGGCATTCAAGCCCGACCACCACGTCAAGGTAGCAGTTATCGGCCGGTGCTTCACATCTGTCTCCTCCTTGTGTTGGTACACCTCAGCATTATACATCCATGACCCATATAGGCTCTTAGTTCGATCTCTGATGAGGTCATGAGTGCGTACTGTTGAATAGTTGCAAACAAGGAGGAAACAACTGTCCAGTACTATGTGGGTTTCTGTAATTGTCGTCATTTTCAGCGAAGAAAACTTTCTTTATCGACAGAATTATCTCCAGAGAGACAGGCTGTACAGTCGTATTGATATTCACAAAAAAAATGTATACTAGTCCATTATTGATTAATAGGACGGGGAGGGGGCGGTAACACAACTGATATAATTACTCAGAAGTGGCTTCAAAACTAAAACTAAGAGTTATAAACTATGTAATACTCAACGCCACAAAGAAGAGGAAAGCGTTAAGAAATTTGATAAGGCTAAAATTGTTATTGAGTGAGAAGAAAGTTGATAGTTGAGTGTCACTTCAACAAGTATGAAGTGGGTGAGAAAATGTACAAAGGGGACACGTGAGAGTGATAATAGTCAATTAATTATTAATAAAAATAAAAGCAAACTAATCAATAAAAATAAAAAATTTACAGGGAACGACCAAAGAAGAGGTTAAGATCATGATAGAATGAGAGACTGGACAATTTTTTTCTGTATACAGAGTTAAGGGTTGTATTGACGAATCGCCAACGGCTCCGCCATACATAAATGCTGAAACGTAACACCCTTTTTACCATTTGGTTTCACTTCGTAGATAATCTTGAAAGACAACTCTGGTGAAGCTACTTGGCTTGAGTTCACCGAGTGCTCGAGAATTGAGCTAGTAACTGTCTTGTATTGTCCTTTTGCTATGCATGTCGTCAATACAACTCAGAACTCTGTATACAGAACAAGTTTGTCTAGTCTCTCATTCTACCATGATCTTCACCTCTTCATTAGTCGTTCCCTGTAAATTTTTATTTTTATTATTAATTAATTGACTATTACCACTCTCACGTGTCCCCTTTGTACATTTTCTCACCCACTTCATACTTGTTGAAGTGACACTCAACTATCAACTTTCTTCTCACTCAATAACAATGTTAACCTTATCAAATTTCCTAACGCTTTCCTCTTCTTTATGGCGTTGAGTATTACATAGTTTATAACTCTTATATTTAGTTTTGAAGCCACTTCTGAGTAATTATATCAGTTGTGTTACCGCCCCCTCCCCGTCCTATTAATCAATAATGGACTACTATACATTTTTGGTAAATATAAATACGACTGTACAGCCTGTTCTCTGAAGATGATTCTGTCGATAAAAAAATTTTTTCTTCACTGAACATTGTCTTTTATATAGTCATTTTTATTACATGAAATATGTTGTTTTCATTGCAATTTTATTGTGTTTTTTGTTTTTTCCCATCTAGACCACACCGCATACTTCAGTATTTCAACGTTTAGCACCATCGCGAATGAGATATTCAATAATTCATGATGAGTTTTAAATAAAAATGCCCGAAAAGGCAGCACCTTATTATTTTTTTGTCAATTTTTGTTTTCTCTTCCTCTCCTGGTGTTTATAATTTTATGTAATTAAAACACCAATCGGTTCATTTTGTGTAGAATGAAATGGTTTTACCTGATTATTTGTTTGTTTGTTTATGCGTTTGTGCGTTTTCATACTAACCTACTGTGTACACAGAATGTATTCTTCAGGACTAATTCTATTCTGTGCTGCACACAAAATAGAATCTCCCTCTCGCTCCCTATGTGAGGAGACCCCGTCGAGGGGGGGCGGTACTTTCCTCTCTCTCTCTCGCTTTCTCTCTCTGGGGTTAGAAAGAGAATTAACCTGTATTTTGGTGAATAGAGTTAACCAAGCAAAATCTTGTTCTCTTCTCATCTCAAGCAAATGAAGATAAAAAAGTGAAATACACGTGTAAAGTTCCTTTTATGTGCACGTCTTCTTCTTATTATTATTATTCCTCTTTACTATTTTTTACACTTTCCCCCTCCTTTTCTTTCTCTTGTGTAGCTTTTTTTTCCTTGGAAAAGCCACATAGGACTGTTATTACAATAGATAACGCTGGCAATTTTGTTCAACTTGTTTTTACTTACATTCTCCGCTATTCAAGAGGTGTGCGCGCGTACGTGCTTGAGTGTATGTGTGCATGTGTGTTTGTCTGTCTGTATAGTTGTTTCCACCTCCTTTTTTTACATCATTGTCTTTCAAAAAGGTGTTAAACTCTCTATTGGTGATAAATTTAAAATATATAGGAATTGGTGTATTTTGTCACTCCCCTCCCTTTGTCTCTCTCTCTCTCTTCCCATTCCCACTCGCCTTCTTTCTATCTCTCTTCAGTGTCAGTGTGTCGACTGAATCAAAATGAGAATTTTAAAAAAAAGTATATTCGGGGGTATGTTGTATTAGTACAAACGGATTATTACTTATAACCACTCTGTTTATTTTTCCTTATTTTATATACACAATGTATGTACTGTTCGAAAAGATTGATTTGTGTAATTAATAATTAACCTCATAACCACTGTATTCCTTCTTGTTGTTAATATTACCCCGTTGTTTCTACTCATGGTACTCACTGGTATTGATTGGTCACCGTATGCCTCTTCTCAATATTCCGATGAGTTAACTGTTCTCTAGGGTGGTATATATCCTGTCTTGTTTTTTTCTACGGTTATGATTGTTCATTGAATAGTTGAATAAGTTTTGTCACTGTGCTGTAGACTGTACCACTGTTGTGTGTGTATACTGAGTGGTGCGTTGTACTACTACTGTCTTTTCTTCTTTTCTCTCTGTCTCTCCAGGAAATTGTATTATTCTAAGGAGATGAGAGTTTCCCCTTTCGAAATTGTTTGATAGTCTCACTTTCTTTGTTTGAAATGAAGGGATGGATAATATACGTTGTTTGTTATTCTTATTCCTAGAGCTTTGGAAAAGATTATATTTATATAAGCGAATTTATGTCACCAGAAAAATGCTTGCATACATGCCTCTTGCTATGTGAAATAATGCGGTTAGCTAATGAACATGATAGACTGACTGACTGTGTACTGATTAATCGATATAAGTAGTTTGAAACAATTCACGTTAAATAATTATCCTTGCTAGCTGAATTGAAGTGGTGTAAACACTCGACAGTTGTTTCTCTCTTCTGGAATGTAGAGGGTTAGACTTAACGTAGAGCGTCGAATTCTAGAATCTTTTTGAAGTAAAAAGTACTCAGATTACATATTGTGGAGCGGGGGGGGGTAGGGAGGAAGTGTTTTATTGCTGTAAATCAAAGATTTGATATGCCAATGAAGTAGGCGTCGAAAGAATGACTGACTGACGTGTCAAGATAGAAATTTAGTAAAATTTAGAACAACACATTTAAGCGATAGAAATTAACACAAAAGTGTAGTAGTTCAATAATAGTCACACTTCATAATACCACAGATTGAGATAATAAATGCAATGAAACTTTTTTTTGATTGCACACTAGTCAGTAACTAGTGTAATGTGTCTAGTCCTATCTTCGGTGCAGACTGAATTCTATCAGTCAGGTTTGCAATGTGGCCACCATGCTAGGTGGCTCGCCATTACGGTGCACTGTGAATTGTTGGTAATAGATGGTTGGAGGCAATCGGCAGGAAGCCTTGGACCTAGGTTTCGTGCTAGGTGGCACTCATGAGCAAGGCGTATCTTCAACCTTGAAGGAACTAATTTCTTTTCTGAGATTCGAACCCGCGTCACCCAGTGCTGCAGTCAGAGACGTTAGCACTGAGCTATTCAGGCTCGCTCAGCACTGGGTGACGCGGGTTCGAATCTCAGAAGGGAGATCAGTTCCTTCAGAGTTGCAGATACGCCATGCTCATGAGTGCCAACTAGCACGAAACCTAGGTCCAAGGCTTCCTGCCGATTGCCTCCAACCATCTAATACCAGCAATGAAACTATAATAAACCACAATGTACAACAGAAAGAGTAATAATGCTTCCTCTGGATGTAGATGTTCACAAGCCGTGAAAACATCGGCAAAAATTGAGAAGAATTGTGAGTCATTTCACTAACGGGTAGTTAACATCTAATTATGTATCTCAAAACAACAGTTAAAGACTTCTAGATATCAAGATCATAGTGTAACGACAGAAGACAAGAGTCAGGCAACATATCGTTTATTGAGAAAATAAAGAGATATTTATATATTTATTTATTTACATTATTATAGGTTATTGTTAGCAGACAAACAGCGTCTTCTGATTGATTGTTCTCTCGCTGAAGGTTAAGCTGTCATCTCTTTGCGGCCATTTATTTGAAGGTCATACCATATATCTGCGAATCGTATCCACCCACGCAAAATCTTTGTTCTTCTTTTTCTCATGACCAAGATTTGGGAAGTAAACATTGGCGTCAATTGCTGTCTACCAATGTTGGCTAGCAGACAGCTCTCACTACAATAGATGTGGCGGATTCACTGGAATAATTCAGGCGCCGGGTCAAACTTAATCATTATAAAATTACTTAAAACCAAAATAAGATTTTTCTGAAAGTGACTACCAAGAGGCTTTCTGAGGCTTACACAGCAAAATGTTCAAAAAAATCTTGTTTTGGTTTTATGTAATTATAAAATGAGTCAGAGATTTTATTGATTGCTGTCATATTTTGGTTTGTTCAGCCGTGTAACCCTTCCAAATTAATCTTATTTCAGCTATCTTTTATCGTTGAGAAAGGCTGTAGCTCCGCATGCGTAACACATTTTCTGGTCATTTTAATCGACTCACTAATGGTCTTCTTACTCTGTTTCCTCAAAACCACTTCTAGTCTTTTCATTCATGACCGTGTTGCTCCACCCAACACATTATTTTAAACGGAGGCACTCCTGGTAAAAGAAACATTCAATGGTCATGTCTTGGCTGTGAAATAAGAACGAACTACTGCACAGCAGAAACACGTCCTTTGATGGATAGCCAGAGTCAAATATGATACAAGTAGGTAGGTAAAATGTAAGATGCTGCTACAGGACTGGACTACGTCTACCCCTAACTTAGTGATAGGAAGTGAAGTGATAGAACATGCTGACCACTTCACCTATTTGGGAAGTTGTATGAGCACCAAGGGACTGATTGGCAACGAAATCTCAGCACTGTTCCAAAAAGCTTGGGCTGCTTTCGCTAACTTACACCATCTCTGGCGTAAGCGTGACATCCGACTATCAACCAAGGGACGTGTGTACTGCTCAGCAGTTCGCTCCGTCCTTCTCTATGGCTCTGAAACATGGCCAATACGAGCTGAAGACATGAAAAGGTTGCCTGTTTTTGACCACAGATGTTTACGATCTCTTTCTCGCGTTAGGTGGTGTAATAAGGTAAGTAATGTTGACGTTAGGCGTAGAGTGTTGGGCAAAGAGGGAAAATCAATCGAAGAGGCTATAAAGTTATATAGATTGAGATGGCCAGGTCACGTGCTGCGCATGCCTAGCCATCGCCTCCCTCGACGGGCATTACTAGCTGATATAGGTGCAGGTTGGAAAAGAGTAAGTGGTGGCCAAACAAAAACATGGCATCAATCCATGAAATCCTTGACAGTTAAACTGAGTCAGGTAGGGAGATGGAGACTTCCGGGTTGGGGCCCTCGGGACTCTAAGAATCATTGGCTGGAGACACTGGGTGACATGGCTCAAAATCGTTGTCAATGGCGCAGATGTATTCAGTCTCTGTAATCTTTCATATTCCTTTCTACCATTACTCATTCTCTTTCGCTCTTATACTTGTCAAAACACTATTGATTCTCTTCGCTCATCTTCTTGTCTACCTTTGTGTGCTATTTGGAACTTGGCAACTCGAACTGGTGCACTTCGGTGCCAAGTTCTATGTTGAATCCAGACCAGGTAGGTAGGTGGGTAGGTGACAGCTGATGAGTAATCAAGATTGACAAAGTAATTAAAACATTCGGTCATCCCAACCTATTTCCTTAAACTAGTAATCTGTGTATACTAGTCAGCTAACATCTTACATTTAAAAGAAGCGGTTCATATGTCAAACATCCGCAGGCATTTTCTCAAGGTGTTCAGAAGACTGTATTTGGTCAGCATCGTTAGTTTACCAATTTTGACCTTTAGATGAACGAGATACATCAAAGGGATATTTAAATTGTTTCAAGAAAACTACCATAAGTTATTGAACAAAGATTTTCTTTTCAAGTGTTCAGCTGTAAGAATTCAATAGATTTCAGGGTAGAGAATCATTGAAACCAATCGAAGTCGTGCAAACCAATCCTCGAAAATGATAAGAACAAAACGTTCAGCGAAGAGTCTGTTTTCGGCGACGAATTCACTCATCACTCAGCTCTATAATCGCATTTATATATAATTATTTAGTGTTTATGTGTGTGTACATTAGGATTGTCAAACAAAATAAAAAAAGCGGTTAGGGTTATTGTTAACGTCATCAAAATTTTTGAAAAATGCGATGAATAATCAAATCGTAACTAGGAGGGGGAGTAGTGAAGATTGGTAAGTATTAACAGGGGTTGCGTAATATGAAAGACACACAGAAGTGCAAGGAGACACATGTGCAAAATAAATTATGTAATAGGTAGAGAGAATAAATAGAAGGTTGGTTAAGAAAAAGATGTTACGTAGGTGTTAAACAAAAATTCAAAAGAAGTATTATTATTAACAAAGTAGTAGAACTTGGAATTATACCCAAGGTAGAAGGAGTAGGTGGAGAATTTTCTTCTGTGTACATAAATCAGGGTTTTCTATCTGAATTGCTGACGCCTCGGCAATACACAGTATACGGAAGCTTACCATTTTTGGGAGGCTTATTTTCACTTTGTAGCTGACTTTGAATGAATTCTCCTTACATATTGAGTGACCGTTGTTGACTATATGTTCAATTATGATTATTATTATTATTGTTCCCTTGGGTTCCTAGTGGAACATAGGGCTTCAACTAAACGTTTCCACTTGCTTCTGTCTTCTTCTGTACCTTTCACTTGCATCCATGTTAGTCCATACTGTTTCAACTCTTCTTCACACGATCTCCTCCATGTCACCCTTTGACGTCCCACTCGCCACTTCCCTTTCGGGTTCCACTCGAGCACTGGCCTGACGCGCGATGTCACCCAACGGCCTCCTCAGCGAGTGTCCAATCCATCTCCGCTTCTTTCTCCTGCATATTTGTTGAGCGATTGGTTCCTGTTTTGTTTGTTCCCATAGTTTCTTGTTGGTGATTCTTTCGGGTCATCTGATCTTGAGTATAGAACGAAGACAGCTGTTGATAAAGGTCTGCAACAGGCTGTTGGAAATATTCTTTGTGACCCGCCAAGTTTCTGATCCGTACTTATAGAAGAAGTGACTTGACGTTTGTATTGAAAATCCGAATTTTGTTGTTGATGCTGAGTTGAGTGACGAAGATTTCCAGATTGGTTCAATTATAACACTCCTTATTGATCAACTGTTACCTTTTCGCTGCCAAGCGAGATAATGTTCTTTGACTGTTTAAGATAAAACACGCATCGAACGACCTATATGTATCGCTCGTTCCACATGATCAAATTAATTGGTAGATACACTTAGAAGTGGTCAGACGTGATAGGTTATCTGTGGAGTTATTGAAGAACAATGGGTGGCTTGAGAATACCAAACGTCGACTGTAGCAGCAACAGATGTTGTTTTCAGGGCGTTAGATATTCTTCTCTTTAGAATATTGGCCAGAAGGTCGCCTTAGAACTCCATATTCATGTATAGCAAGCATCTTCGGCACAGAGATGGGTTTTTTGTTTCTTTGTTGGTTTTCAGTTTTATGTATTTATCTAATAAAAGCTTGATGGATGGAAATTCTCAGGTAGTGTCTTCCTCAAAAGAGTGATCTCTTCTTCTTCCGATTCGGGGCTACAGATTCTACGGATTCTAGTCG